GGGTTTTCTGCTGTAGTAGTTGGTTAGATCCATCAGTCACAGGCTTAATCTCTTTAACAAAAGATTATGTAGCCACATCCTTGGTGAACATTCTAGGTCCTTAGTTTGTGCAACAGAAATTTCCATATCTTTAAGTTCTGTTTTCATTTTTCACAGTTCATTTTTAGGTCCATCTCTTTCTTCTCGCATTTTTCTATAAGCAACAAGGGGAAACCTTGTGGCAACTTTGGGATCTTGTGGCCACTTTGGGATCTTGCTTAGAAATCTCCTCAGCCAGATATCCAAGTTCATTGCTTACAAGTTGTACCTTCACCAAATATTTGAACTTAATTAAGACAAGTTCTTTGCCACTGCATAAAAAGTATCACTCTTCTTCCATTGTCCAGTCTCGTGTTCACCATTTCCTTCTAAAGCCTCACCAGAACCACGTTGCTGTGCTTCCATGTTTCTAGGAACATTCTGCTGCTGGTGCCATATGTATTCTCTGTGTTGACAGAGGCTTCTCTGTGGCTTCTTCCCTTCTTTCTGAGCCCTCACCAGAACTGCCTTTGCCATCTATAATTCTACCAACAGTCTTTTCAAGGCAATCTAGGCTTTTACTACTCAAACAAACCCACTGCCATCTAGTCAATTCCGACTCATAGTGACCCCTACTGGGTTTCCAAGGCTGTAAATCTTTACAGAGTAGTTTGCCTTGTCTTCCTTCCATGGAGAAGCTGGTAGGTTTGAACCTCCAACCTTCTGGTTACTAGTTAAGGCATCAGATGCCTTAGACACTGCACTACTGGACCGCCTTAGGCTTTTTCTTTTAGGCACCTTAAGAATCTTCCAGTCTCTACCGATTACCCAATTCTAAAACCACTTCCACATTTTTTTAGGTATCTTAAGAGCAGCACCCCACTCTTTTGGTACCAAATTTTATCTTAGTTAGCTAGTGATGCTATAATAGAAATACCACAAGTGATGGCTTTAACGGAAATTTATTTTCTTACAGTTCAGGAGGCTAAAAGTGTGAATTCAGGGAAATATGTTCTCTCTGTTGGCTTTGGAGGCAGCATCTTGTCTCTGGAGGGTCTGCCACTGGGTGATCTGCATGTAGCATGGCGTTTCTCATCCTCCATTTTTGCTTGCTCACTTGTTTGATCTTTTTTATATTTCAAAAGAAATTGATTCAAGATACACTCTACACTAATCCTGCCCCATTAACATAACAACCCATCCCCAAATGCTGTAACCATGAGCATAGAGGTTAGGATTTACAACATATATTTTTGGACACACAATTCAACCCCTAAGAAAAGGGAACACCAAAAAAAGAAGAAGAAGAATGCTTTGCTTCTAACCTGAATCATTCTGAATGATTTAAGCAAAATTATTTTCAGGTACTTTTAAAAAGTAGATCCAACTTGCCAAGAGTAGAGTGCCTGATTTTCAAATAAGTGAAGTATTGTTTTTTTTTCCCTGTTGTTTGTTTTTCATCTCCAACAAGGAGCTGTTGATGGGTTTCAAGTACATGTGAAAGTAACTCAGATAATATCAGTATCTGAAATGACTAACTGATATAAAATGACAAGGTAAGTATAGTCTCAGTCATGTGAAAGTTTCTTTTGTGAAGATTTCTGGTGCGTGTGTTTGTGTTTGTTGAGTTTCGGAGAACTTAGTTACAGGGTAAATGAAGTCCACATCACTGAAGATGTCTGTGAGCACCTGGTAACTCATGATGTAACCATGAGAGCTGTTACTTGTCTGCCACATGCTCGTATTTCTCCAACAAGCTCTCCTGCAGAGGCCTGGGATCAGCCCATGCTCGGGGGCTTGGAGGATCTCAGTCCCCACCACCTGCCATGGTTTTAGGCAGCACTATTCATGATGGTTTTGGATGCATTGATAGGGAGTACCATTGCTGAGGTACCATAGGGGGAACAGGTGAGTCACATGTCCCTTCGCGTTATGGAAAGATCTCTAGTCCCCATAAGGAAGATGATCCAGAAGGGAGCAAACTGGGAGCCAGGGGGCGCATTGGGGAGCAGTGATAAGGACCTGAGCCAGGACTGTGGTTGAGAGAGAGTGATGAAGGGAAACGTAAGAGGTTGGAGTGTGTGTGTGTGTGTGTGTGTGTGTCTGAAGAGATATGACCAGGAAGAATCCTGTTCCACCTCTAGTGGGACAAATGGCTGGATGGACATACACTTCATGTGTCATCCCCACATGCCTCCCCTCTTGGGCAGGAAGGATTCTAGAGCTGGTACTCATGGTCCAAAGAAAGCAGGATGGGGGGGGGGGTGTGAGTCCACCCTTGAGGAGGCCCAAGTGATGGCCCCACACGCACAAGGGAATGAGTCTCTGTCACTGGGTATGTCCCCTCCATGCAGGGAGGTGTTGACTCCTTAGGAGTGGCTGACCCGTGATAATGCCAACAGCTAAAATTAGAGAAGCCAGGGTAGTTTGCAAGTTCAGTTTTAGACATGCTGAATATGAGGCATGTACCTAAACATCTGGTCTCCCTGGGTGATGCAGATGGTTAAGTGCTCAACTACTGGCCACAAGATGGAAGGTGTGAACCCCCCCCCATAGCTGCCTCAGAAGAAAGGCCTGGCCATCTGCTTCCCAAAAGTCACAGCCTTGAAAACCCTATGCAACAGTTCTCCTCTGTACATGTGGGGTGGCCGGGAGTCAGAATCGACTCGGTAGCACCTACCAACAACAAGAATGGAATACCCAGCTGTTGGTTCCAGAAGGAATAGCATTTCTGACTCTGAAGATGAGGGGAAAGGCTGGGCTGGCAATTTGAGTCAGATGCCTTAAAACATTTCTGGAGCAGGGCCTGCTGGAGTCATATCTACAGAGGGGCGTCTGGGCCCAGGGTACATGTAGTCTGTGGCCCTTTTCTCTTTTCCTGTGTTCTGTCACTGTCCGAAGTCCTCCTCATCTGCAACCTTTCAGTTCACCAAAAGCTTTCTTATTTCTAGTCATTGAGCTCTAGGCTGTTCCACCCAACACTGGTGGTGGTGGTGGTGGTGGTTTCTGTTGGTTCTGTGAGTCTCTCCCATTTCTTCCATATTAGCCTGTCTGAGCCCTGTGCACAAGTTGGTGGGGAAACGCTCTTGCTCACCTCCATTAGAGTGGCTGCAGGAACACAGCCCACTCCCACTCAGCTGCCAGAGACGTGTGCTCTGCACACCCATGGTCTTGCTGCTGCTTTTTGGAGGGAGATTCCTAGAACGTCTTCTCCCATCATGTGACTGTACTTGTTTGAGACCTGCTGTCATCCCAGGAGGCCCCGGGAAGGGCGCTGTGCTGCGGTCTCCCATGCGTTAATATTTCCAGAGCCACAGGAGAGCTCTCGGATTTTTTCATCTCTCACTTGCTCGCTCTCTCTCTGCCTCTCTCTCTCTCTCTCTCTCTCTCTCACACACACACACACACACACACACACGCACTGCCAGAAGTGGTGAACCAAAACAAACGAAACCCACTGCCATTGAGTTGATTCCAACTCATAGTGACCTTATTATAGGACAGAGTAGAATTGGCCTATAGAGAGTTTCCAAGGCTGTCAGTCTTTGCAGAAGTAGACTGCCTCACCTTTCTCCGACACAGTGGCTGGTGGGTTCAAACTGCCGAACTTTCGGTTAGCAGCCAAATGCCTTGGCCACTATACCACCAGAGTTCTTGAAAATAATGAAATTAGGTTAAAAGTTTTCTGGCATAGTATGGGCATGCATATATATTGTGTGTTAGAAGTGAATTCTGGCCTCACTCACCCTCACTCAGTAGTCCGAAAATGTTGCTTCTGATCATATTTGTAAAATAAAAGTATAAGCCATGGTGGCCAGTCGGACCCATCACACTATCCTGGCCCCACGGGCCCCTCGGGTGGCTGGTTGGACCCATCTTGTCCAAGTGAGGGCCATGTGACCCCTCTGTGCCCAAGGCTCTCACACCCACCACGCGGCATCCACGCAGGGAATAAATTCAAACAGCCCAAGCACAGTGGCCTCACCTACCTGAGTGGCCTCTTGGGCCTGGGGTGCACAGACCCACACACCTCCTGGGTTGGGCCAGCCACCCTAACAAAGGCTAATTCCTGTGTGGGAGAAGTTATTTCTTCCTGCATTGGAGAAAGTGGTTTGCAAAGCAGAGAAAGGATTCTGCTGGGAGAGGGGTTGCTTTAGACACCTGTGCGTTGGCTGGTGAGCATCTGCTGCTGGGGACCACACCTCTGTACCAACAGGCACCAAGATATGCCCATTAATGTTAATCTGCTGGACAGTTAACAATTGAAGTCATCAACGTGTAAAACATTGGTATAGTACAGTTATGAAAATAATGCATGGGGGTCACACGGGGTGCAAAAACTTACAGTGTGCGCTGTTTATGTAAAAATATTGTCATGAGAAAAAGAACCTTTCACTTTTATGCCTGACAGATCATCAGTGTGCTTTGGAAATTATGTCAAAATAAATGATTCGATTCTGTAATTAGTGTAATGACTGAGCTATTTGTAAGACAGCTGTAAAATTAAACCAGATATATAGGATTCAAGGAGCCCTAGTGGCGCAGTGATTAAGTGCTTGGCTGCCAACCAACAGGTTGGTGGTTTAAACCCATGAGCTGACTGGGAGAGAGATGGGGCAATCTGCTTACTTAAAGATTATGGCCTGGGATACCCTATGGAGCAGTTCTACTCTGTCCTGTAGGGTCGCTGTGAGTCAGAATTGACTGGTCAGGAGTGGGTTATATAGGATTCAGCTTAAGGAGTAAGTACCAAAAGAGCAACGTGAGCTTGAAGACAAGCGTGGCGTCTTTTGGTCAACGATGTTGTAGAGTAAATTTCCTGTCAGCCGTGTCCGTCTCGAACCCACCCTTGTGGATGTGCTGCTGTGGGCTTAGGCTCAGCAGCCTTGTAGCGTGACTGCTCTGCTCTTCCTGTCCTTCATGTTTCTCCATGAGGATCATGCAGTGGCTTTCCCCTAACGTACCCGGTTTTTTGTTCGCAGGGCATGTTCTCATAGAGATTTCAAGCACACACAAGAAACTTAACGAAAGTCTTGATGAAAATGTATGTAAACTGTTTTTACGTTTATAAAACGTATTTCTTTTTTATTTTGCTTAATGATTCCAATTTAGTGTGAACTTTTTGATTTCCTTTTGTTAACAGTTCAAAAAATTCCATAAAGAGATTATACACGAGCTGGAGAAGAAGACAGAACTTGATGTAAAGTATATGAACGTAAGTCCAGGGTTTTTCTCTTCCACACTGAGGGCCGTGTTCAAGGAGGTGGCACTTGCCTGCTTTTTCGGCCCGGAACCTTCCCCCGTGTTCATCCAACAGCAAGTGTTGGCAGGATGTGATCCTGCGTGTGAACATAATGCATAAGACTGACAGGTTCCTCTGCGCCGCGTGGGCTCATTTTCCCTAACACTTGGGGTATTCGTTGAAAAGCATAGAGAAAAACCATTGCAAGACATCATACTGCTTTTGGAAAGAATCATTTTCAGGGAAGACCTGTAGGGGATTCTGTTCTACAGTGTGAGTTGACTGCCGCATTTACACATCATGTCAGGACACAGACATGCGAGAAAGAGCGCACCCACCGTCCAGAGCTCCCAGACCTGAGCAGAGACCTCCCCGGCGTGGTGACTCTTGCCCACCACCCTAGGATTGCCCATTGTAGCACTTCCTCCTGGTCATTTTCAGCCTGGCCCTCCAGTTCCAGTACACACGTTATTTTGCTTTTTTACCCAAAGTCCCCTTTCTTTTCACCACGACTGTGACCCCCATGTAGCAGTAAGCAGCCTAGGTTTCCCTGAGCACATCCCCAGTGGGGCTCCATAAGGCCTGCTGCCTACCTGTGTATGCTCTGGCCTGAGCACTCGTATATACTGAGGGTGTTTGATGCCACACACTTTACATAATTATCTGGCTTTTATCCCTACAAAAACTCCTCAAGGTAGGTACTCTTATTACCCTCACACTACAGATTAGAGGAAAGTAAGGATTTTAGAGAAAGTGATTTGCTGAGATCACCTAGGTAATGACAAGTGAGGCTAGAATTCTCATCCAGGTCTGCTGACCCCAGACCTTGAGCTCCTAACACTGTGACCCGGCCCCCAGAATGGTCACGAGCTATTATCCTGGCTCAGTGGGTTTCTTGACATCGTAAATCACACAACACTGAGGGCTGGGTGATGTAATGTCGTTTACAAAGCCCTTCCTGACCACCCAGTGTCCAAGACCCTTTGAAAAAAGGAGTAGTAGAAGGAGAAGACACTGTCGTCACAGAACTACCAGTTTGGTCAGGAACCCCTCATGTACACGGGGTAGGCTATGCAGTGAACGTTTAAGCTGAGGGCTATGGGGGTGGAGCGTGGGGGTGAGGGGGCGGGGCTGTGGCACGCACTCAGACACTCAAGTGCTTGCAAACCCGCCTGCGCAGCCTCTTACGGTGCAGGTTTTTCTCATCACCTTTCACTTTCAGGCAACTCTCAAACGATACCAAACAGAACATAGGAGCAAGCTAGACTCTCTGGAGAAGTCTCAAGCAGAGCTGAAGAAGATCAGGAGGAAAAGTCAGGGAGCACGGAATGCACTCAAATACGAACACAAAGAGCTTGAGGTAAGCTGTGCAGTGAGGTTTGGTTTGGTTTGGTTGTTGACAGCTGGTGCGCTGAAGGAGATACTGACTTACCTCAGCCACCCACCGAGTGCTACTGTTGAGCTTAAAAATGAGCGATCGCTCCAATAAGAGCTGAAGCTGCAGAGCTTTCTGGGGTTGGGAGGAATGCGTGACCTGAAAACACTGGCCTTGTCTCCTGAGTCGGGAGGGGAGGACTACGTGGTAAAGCATTGCTTCCCTATTTTACAGATGGGGAAACTGTGGCTTAGGTTAAGGCATATGGTTGTCATTTGGAACTGAGATTTGAACCTGGAACTCTCTGGTCCCAAAGCCCAAGTTTCCAGTGGAACACAGCCATTGCCCTGAAACACAAAGTAATGTTTTATGCAGATTGCCCAGTGGAAACATAGCCTTTGACACCTTCCCTCCCTTATGAGTCAGGGATCTTAATGAGAATGGTCTTACCTGCTCAAGTCAGGGTGCAGCTGTTCTCGGTCTAACATTGGTTTGCGTTTAGTACACGTCCCATTGTCTAATAAACCAAGTGGAAGGATGCGTGCCAGGCTGTGTGACTCTTTGATTCCTTGTGTCAGACTTGTGCGATTATCACTTATTTTCCTAGTATGTGGAGACCGTCACTTCTCGCCAGAGTGAAATCCAGAAATTCATTGCCGATGGTTGCAGAGAAGCTCTGTTGGAGGAGAAGAGGCGGTTCTGCTTCCTGGTTGACAAGCACTGCAGTTTTTCAAACCACATTCATAATTACCACATCCAGGTGGGTGTGGTGGTCATGTGTGTTGCATTTATTAATATCATTTCATATTTAAAAGCACTTAACGTGCCTTAACTTCCGCATAGGCCCCAGCATACAATGATAGGCCTGCAGTGCCAGAGAGATGACTCCAGAGAAGGCGGTTGTGGCCACCTTGAATATGTGACTTTGTAGGACTGTAGATGAAACGGTTGTTGAGTGTCTGCTTATGATAGGGAATGGGTTGGTTTAGTGATACACCCATATCCTGTCTCTAAACAGTGCTTCTTAACTGAGAAATGCCACTTGTCCCTTTTCTCACAAGGAGACTCTGTGGGTGCACCCTGGCTACAGTGCCCTTCCCAGGGCCACTGTGGGTTCTGTGGACCTTACCTCTACTGCCTTCTGCATCATGTGAAATGCTGCACTTCTGGGTCCATGTCGAGTGGTATCCCTGGCTGTTTTATCCCAGGCCGCAAACACCCCTTCCCGTGCCATCAGTACTTATCTGTCTTCCTCTGCTGAGAAGTCCCAGTCCCTGCAGTGGTCCCTGGGAACAGCAGGCAAAGCTGGGGTCCACGGGCAGCATTACCACAGTGTGTCAGGCGACAGTTGGGACAGAGCCAAGCCTGGTCCACCCGCTCATGACTCGCACCAGCGCCTGCAGCCCACATTGCGGAAACAGTCTAAGTGCTTGCTGTGCAGGTTGCTCTGGAAAGGGCCCCGCTTCCCTCTGCCGGCCAGGTTGCTGCCCCGGAATAGGGGTTCACTGAAGGGCTTTGGGGAGTCCAGTCACAACAAGTGGAGCCAGGCTTGGGGGAGACCCTCTGCTGTGTCTGGGGCTATGGCACGCTCGTCTCCCATCTGCAGCTTTCTCTGCAAAGCCCCCTGTGCATCCCCCAGACCCTCCATGACAGGCATTTCTGGGACCACTGGGAACATAGTAGAGTTGGTACAGACTCCTCCCTTCCTCTTTTAGTTTTTGAACTTGTCCTTACTCAGTTTTTATCCCGCTCTTAGTCTTCATTCTGCATGCAGACTAAGGGAGCGGCCCCATTCCTTTAGAGCAAGCACTATGCCTTGTCCTCAGCAAACCAGACGACCCAGATGCTTAAACTCTTACTGGATTGAACTCCAAGCTTCCACACTCAAGACAAGCCAGTGCAGGTTATCAGTGGTGTCACTTGATAAGATTTTCGTCCACTCTTCTAACGATGCACCTTTTTCTTTTCTTTTGTTTCTGTGGGATGTATAGTCTGCGGAATTACTTAATTCCAAACTGCCCTGGTGGCAGGAGTCCTGTGGTGATGCCACCAAAGTGCCAGAGAAGATCATGAATATGATAGAAGAAATTAAGACCCCGATCTCCACCCCAGTGTCTGGAACGCCTCAGCCCTCACCAGTGATCCAGAGAAGCAGTATGGTAGGAGCTGGGTACCTAGCCCGGATTGTGGATGCACGTTTGCTAAGATGAATCAGGCCAAATTTCTGCTGAGGCCCAAGGCCTTGACTTGTTAGTGGAAGTCACAGGTCCCCTTTATTTCTTCTGTTGTTGTTGGGTGCTGTCACATCGATTCCGACTCAGCATCGCCATGTGACAGAGTAAAACTACCCCCAGAGGGTTTTCCTGACTATGGTCTTAACAGGAGCACGTTGCCAGTCTTTCTTTCATGGAGCTCCTAGGTGGGTTTGAACTGCCAGCCTTTTGGTTAACAGACTTCTCCTAGGGCCCATCTTTTCTGATCCTGGTCCCTCGCATGTACAGATTTGGAATTAGCTGTACAAATGTCTTATACTATGTTTAGCACTATTGTCTGTGTTTTGGAAATTTTATTGTTACTATTTTTGGTTGTGATGATTCAAACTTTAAAAGTTTTTTCCAACGAAGGAAGAATAGCTGTCATAGAACAGAGCAGTGAAGCTCAATGCCATTCCTTACCATGTGGAACGGTGGGGAGAAGACAGCACCTTCTGTGCTCTAGGTGAGCAAGACGAGGAGCCACGAAGCCAGCTCCTCCCTGATGCCTGGAGTAGCGCCTGGCACGCATCACGTGCTGAATTAAAGACGGATGTGACAGATCTTCTGTGATTGGTGCAGTGCCCACTGGCAGTGACAACCCAGTTCACGTCCACATTGAGGATCTGACCAGGCCCTTCCCCCAGGAGGGATGCAGATGGCCAGGGAACACGTGAAAGGGGTTTAGGAAATTCAGCTGGGTGTCTGTGTGGCAATGAGATTAGACGGCATGGCATGCCACTCAGACATTAAGCAGAAAGCCAGAAGTTGGGAGGAATCTGGCCACTTTTAAACATTATTATTCGGATATAAATTGTGACAATCTTTTTTGCAAAGTTATCTGGGAAAATCTATTAAAAATGAACATAAACATTTCCTTCAGCAGTTCTGCTTCTTAGGAATCTCTTCATTGGCAGTAAAGGCATTGATGTGGCATGACATGCAGTGAGGTTTATTGACCATGAAAGACCCTGAAAATAACCGGAATGGGATCAGTAAGGGCATGGATCTGAACTGCGGCACACCCCCACGTCAGCGGATAGAGCTGTTACAAAGACGGACCAGAGCCTTTTTTTATTTTTTTTAAGACAAATAAGACCAAAAAATGAGGGAAAAAAAATTGTGTGGTCTCTTGAAATAACTCAGAATAGGCCCCACAACTAAGAACTTCAGGGAGAAGATGGGGTTGAAAGGGGCTACAGAACAACCCTGGGAAGCGGTACATTCGCTTCTGTGTTGCACTATTAGACTAATGATGGACTGTTCACAGGTCGGCAAAGATCATGACACCCTTTCTAAATACTCGCCAAAGATGCCCCCAGCAACTTCAGCCAAAGCCTACACCGGCCCTTTGATCGATATGTTTAATAACCCAGCAACAGTTACACAGAATTCAGAAAGGATTAATAATTCAACAGGTAAGAGATTCACTTTGATTTTTTTTAAAATACATTTCAAATTTTTAAAAAATGAATGTTGAGCATATTCTGGATAAATGTGCCGTGAGGTAGAGAGTTCAGCAAATGGGGACTTTTCTTCAACATCTGTTCTGAGGAACTTAACCCTCCAAACAAAGGCCCGAGTCTGTCACAGGAGGGAACACCTGCCTAAACGCCTCAACTCTGCTGACTGTGTGCCTGTCAGCAAATCAGGACCTGTGGTCACTGGCAGACACCCGAGGCAACAGCTTCCTACGGTCTTTGGAGCCCAGGACCCTGGAGGTGTGTGTCGTGAGGTGTGACCATCTCTGATGGCAGTTAAGAGTTTGCAAGATTCAAGCCGAGAAGATATTCCATTGTTTTAAAGTAAATGTGCCAGATGCATTACTAGGTTAGTAGAGTTGAGTGGAAAAAAAGTATCTAAAAAGAAATAAGTGAGTGTCCCCTCTTTTTTTTGAGTGGTAAGTATCAGCCTGCATATGAGTTGTGACAGAGGACACAGTGCCCAGGGCTTTTGAGTGTAGGCTGCAGAGTTAGGCTGCCCTGGTGTGACTCCTGGCCCTGCCACCTGCTAGCTCAGTGTTGCTGGGTGAGTCCTGGCCTCCGCATGGTTCTTGTGGTGTCCTCGTCTGTTGATGTGGCCTCAGAAACTGGCTGTGGGGACCAAGGGGGCTGTTAGTGAGGGCATAGTCAGTGTGCTCGTCATTGTCACCATGTCCTTAACTGCGCTCTCAGTCAGAAGCTGAGCACGCCTGATGATGAGAACACCTGTGTTCCCAGTAGCCTCCTTGTCTCGCAGCCGTAGTCAGTGAAGGCCAGCTTTGAGTTAGCTGTTCCTCAGCCTGACTTTGTGATTCAGGTTGAGAGCAGTTGAAGGAAGATCTTGAGACATTTGTTGTGTAAAGAGAGCAGCACTGGTGGAAATCCTACTGCAGATCAATCCAGTGGAAAAGAACCCTGAGCCTCGGGAACCTCCCTTAGGGCTCGGGACCTCAGGCCCACCCTGGTCCTGCCCTGGTCCTCGCAGCCCTGCCCATCCAGGCACCATAAGCCAGGAGCTTCTGTGGACTGAGGGCAGGCGGCGGGACTGGTGCTGTTCTGGATCCTGCCCTGTTGAACTTGCCTCTGGACGATCGTTTCTTGGCAGATTCCTCCGAGGATCCTAGTTTGCAGCGCTCCGTGTCTGTGGCCACTGGTCTGAACCTGATGAAAAAGCAGAAGGTAAAGACTGTTTTCCCGCACGCCGCTGGTGGGAACAAGACCCTGCTGAGCTTTGACCAGGGGGATGTCATCACACTGCTCATCCCCGACGAGAAGGATGGCTGGCTTTACGGGGAGCATGACACCACCAAGGTGTAAGTCACTGTTCAGAGGCCCGCTGGTGTGTCCTTACCATCGATCACTTAGCCCAAGCGAGGTTAACCATGTGTTCAGAGTTAGAATGAACCAGGTATTCTGTCTCGGCAGCTTTCTGTGTGCGCACACAAACAAACACTAGATGCTTGAACAGACGTGGCTCTGTGAAGTCACCTCTGATGGTACTTAGGTGTGCCTCTCCTTTGTTCATGAAAAGCCTGTGGCTTGATCACTCAAGAATAATTCATGTATCAGACATACTTTATGATTTAACATGTAACAGTAAGTGCTGTCCTCCTCACACAGACCTTCTTGTAACTAGTGAAGCATACTTTTACATAGCTTACTCCACTCGGTCTGCACATGGGCCTCCATGATATGCAGGGACCTGTCTGTGCTGCACTGTCACCAAGTCACTTTTCAGCATGTCTGCTGTTCAACTGTCTGCTGCTTGTACCACAGAATGGTCTTTTTATCTCTTCACCTGCAGGAGAGGTTGGTTCCCGTCATCCTACACCAAGTTACTGGAAGAAAATTTGAAGGAAGCAGCAGCTGTACCTGTGCCAAGGTCAAAGCTGAGTGAGGCTTTTATCCCCTCTGACAAGTGCTTCCAGGCACACCAGAACTGTGTCTAGATGATGTAGCCAGTTCCACAGAGAAGCTCAGATATGTGGGCAGAGAGGAAGACAGGCTGCTGTTCCACTGTTGCCTGTGTAACTTCCATTCTCCATGGGCGTTACTGTCATCTGTGCAGAGACCAGAGCACCTCTCGGCCCAGTCCTTGGAACTCCGCTTCCTGTCATCCACCACCCTGTTACTATATCCTGTGTATACATTTCCTGTCTTTACTCACTTAGCAGCAGCCTTGAACACTTGAGCATTCTTTCTAGAATGTTCTCCTGCCTTGGTATCTTACCTTGAACTCTGTTTTTCCTTCCACTTCCCCAGCCCTCCCTTTGCTGTCTGTTCACAGGCTCTTATGCAGCCCATCCCATGGACGCTGGTGTCCCTTGGGGTTCTGCCTCAGTCCTTTTCCTTTGCCATACTTCCTGAGCCATCGCATCTACTCCCGTGCCTTGAATTAACTCCTCTGGGCTTCACCTAGCACCTCTGTGCAGACACCCCAAACTGGGTTTCAGTCCAGGTCATAGTAGTGACATCATCACTGGTGGCACCTATTATACACAGTGATCTCCGTTCACTGGCTCATGGAATTGTCACACCTCCCTCTGAGGTTGGTCCCCGTTTTAAAAGTAAGGAAACTGAGGCGCCTGTCCAGCTGGAGCCTAGGTCACCACACTGGCCCTCCCTGATCCTGCCCACTGCTCTTCCCAGTGTCTCGTGAGTCCATCTACCTGTCGTCACTCTTATAAAACAGCACAAAGGGAATGCCAGTGTGCCAAGAAACGAAACCCATCTGTAAGGGATTTCAGTGCTGATTTGTTAAAATCTGAAGTGCTTAATAATACTTGCCAAGGTTTTTGCTAATGTCTTGGTTTTTTTTTTTAAGTCGATCACCTTAGATGAAATAAATCAAGAACCAGCCTCTAATCAGGGGGTTTCTTCTGCCTTTTCTCTGTCATGACTTTCAAGAATGGCTTTGGAGTTATATCTACAGACAGCAGAACAGTGCAGTGTTACAGGGAGTGTGTGTGGTGTGTGTGTGTCTGTCTGTCTGTGGTAATGCCCTCCTCCCTCACTGCCTTGGTGATTAATCTTGTCCTGTTCTGGGTGGTAGGGTGTGTGGAGTTTGGACAGCAGCCCCCCGTCTGACTTGGATTCTGTTCTTGTCCGCCTTTAGCCCTGCACCTGTGAGAAGCATCAGTACACTGAACTTATCTGAGAAGACCAATGTCGTCATTCCCCCACCAGACTACTTGGAATGTGTGTCCACAGGAGCAACGGGAGACAAGAGGGCGGAGATTTCCAAACCCACTTCCACCTTCAAAGCTCCAGAGGCCAAACCTGAAGCCCCATCTCCTGTGAGTAAAACTGCGGGGTCTTACCTCACGCACTTAGCTCCCTCACACCCCAAACCTGTCGTTCTCATTCCTACCTGGCAGCTTGGTCTGCCACCAGCGTGAAAGGGGTGGCCCTGCAGGGGCATGTGGTCCAGGCCCTCTTTGTCACACAGCCTCTGCCTCCTTACCTCAGCCCTTCCTCTGTTCTTCCTTCTTATAAATGGCTGTTTTACACACGGCCAGTCCAGAGTTTGGTGGATGCCGTCAGGGTTCTAATTGCTCGCTCTTGGCCAAGGCTGGCGTTCTTTGATCAGTTAGTCACCTTTTCTGCAGCTGTTTCCAATTTCACATTGTTTCCTGAAGGAAGGTTCAGGTTAAAAGTGGGAGTTTAATCTTCAGGCCGTTGGGAAAGTACTTGCCTTGCACAAGCTGCCATGTGAGTGCTGCCACCATGTGGGCACCACATGTGTGCTACCTTCCATTCTTGAGCGGCCCTGTAAAGAAGGACAGGAGAGGATGAGGACTGAGGAGGTGCTCGTTCGTCCCTCCCACAGTTGTGCATGGAGGGGTGCTGAGTGCCAGGCACTGGTCGGGGCTCTGGAGACCCAGAAATGAACGAGACAAGCTCCTGGCTCCCTCGGGAGTTGCGGTACATTCTAGTGAGAAGAAACAGACATTAAAAAGAAACGGGCCCAGACACCAATGATAAGAACTATGCATGGACCCAAAATGAGGTGAGGTAGGAAGAACGGGGTGACACTGGACGGATGGCACAGTGGGTACCGGGACCCAGACAGATGTGTGTGCAGGGTCCTTGCTCAGGCATGCCCTCGGGGCCCACACCACAAGGAAGGAAGGAGGAAGGTGGAGGGAGTAGTTGGTGTGATGCGGTCACCGCAGGAGAGAGCTCAGCAGCAGGATGGACCTCAGAGCTGATCTGGGGGCCACGTGCCTGCATCTGGGATGAGACAGATTGTCAAGGAGAGGAGTTTGCCAGACAGAGTCACAGGGCGCTTAGGAGCCCTGAGGCAGAAGCAAGCTTGGCACGACTAGGGTGATTGTTATGAGGACAAGTGGGGTCAAGAGGAGGATGTAGGTCCCTTGTTGTGTTTGTTTTTCAGTATAGCTTACACAATACAGGGAGATAAGAGAGAGAATGATGGAGAGAAAGGTGAGCGTTAGTCGTCAGGGAAAGACCCAGAGCACAAGGAGAGCCCACCCTGGCCAGGAGGAGGGACGGCAGCTGCTGGGATGGAAAAGGCCAAAGGTGCGGGCCTGGTGCAGCCGGGTGGCCAGCCAGGGACCTGTGTGACAATGTCCAGTCATCACCTGCTGGGTAGACGGGGGTGAGCCAGCCGGAAGAGGACACTGCCAAGGGGCATCTTGAGAGTCAGAGGGGTGCGCTGCTGCAGCGGGGCAGGATGTGGGGTGACACTGAGGATGTGGGGTGACACTGAGGATGTGGGGTGACACTGAGGATGTGGGGTGACACTGAATGCCCTTGGAGATGACGGGTCATGGTTTAAAGGACCAGTCCACATGGTGTGTGCCTTTCTCTAGCAACATTCAGCTCCCTGGGCTCAGGTAAGAAATAGTTCACTGGTTAGAGTTAACCAGGGCACTGGCCCTAGCAGAGGAGGGAGGGAGTGCAGCGTGTCTGTGAGGGTGGGTCGTGGCGTCCCAGGCCACAGAATCCAGCGGGGAGAGGGAGGCGGGTGAGTGGATGAGAGAGTGGGAATGAAGCAGTCGGTGAAGTGGAGAGGGGGAACAGCGACAGGAGGTGACGGTCAGATGTTGGGAAGATGGATGGGGCACTCAGCTGAAAGCTGTGCAGCTCAGCAGTGTGCCTGTGGCTGCAGAATGGTTCTGGGAGGCTGGACCTGCCCGCCAGGCAGCCGTGCTGCCGCCTCACAGAAAGTCACCAGGGGCTGGGGGTAGTGCCCAGCAGCTGGTGCGGTTGGGCCGTGCCACTTCCCTTGTTAGGGTTTTTGCCATCATTTTCCCGTGGCCCTGGGGTGCTTTTTGTGGTGCATACGTGGCATTTCCCTACTTTCCAGTGGGGTGTGGCTAGATAGCCCTGCCCTAGCAGGTCACGGGGTGTCAGGGCTTTGTTCAGGCGGGGGTGGAGCACAGGTGGAGCCTCGTGACTGCATGAACTGGTGTTCTCCTGGAGACGTGCCTGCGCTTTAGCGTGAGCCTTACAGAATTTGAGGATGGACTGCCTCATTCTGGTCCGGGAAATGCAAGTGTTTGAAATCTCATTTGGAGATGTCCCCGTCCAGCTGCTCTCAGATCCTCCCACTGCACATTGATCCAAATGACCTCCAACATCTAACTCCACCCCAGAAGGTATTCCCACATGCAGGACGCCCTTCATGCCTCTTCCTTGTGGCTAGTTGTATAGAACAGGGTATTTATTCTGGGCTGTCCCCAGCCTGGATTCTGTTGGTGGCATTCACATAGTGTCCTTCACCTGTGTCTCCTGTATTTCCAGTAAATTAGCAGCTAGATGCCTTGCTTGGTTGTTGTTGGCTTGTCTGTCTTTCGAGAGCACTTTTTTGGTCCTGGGCCGTCAGAAGACCACTGTTTTGTCACCGTGTGGTACAGCTTTCTTTGGTGACAGCAGTGTTCCAGAATTGCACTGCCCAGTCCTGTGATCTTTGTAGCCATTGATAGGAAGTGCCAAGCACTGTGACTTTATTGAGGTTGTATAATGCCTTTTAAGGTAAAAGAATCTTGCCCCAAACCCAGTACTGGAATTATCAGTGACAACACTGACACTTTAGCCAATACAGACAGTAACCACTCTTAGAAAATGAGGACATGTGTTCACTTGCAGTATTTTCACCGTGTCTGTAAATGATGAAGAGAGCTCCGTTAACTGTTCTTCACAAGGACATGGGGTGTGATAAACGGATCGATGTGCTTAAATGAGGACCAAGCTATTGTTATTTGGTACTTGGTTGTTTCGACCTGCCCTGACCTGACTGACTGAATCTTAACGAACTGCCAGAGGGGGAGATGACTTTGGAGGTGCTGAGACTCAAGTGAGGATTGCAGGCAGCACCCCACCCTCTTCCTCTCCCTACTTCCTTGAGCAGAAGTGCTTCAAGCCCAAGTTTCTCCCAACCCCAGGAGATGAACCTGTGGCCTCCTGCGACCACTTTGGCTTGCCTGGCTCCCCACAAGGGGTGCCTAGTCAGTCCTGTTACCTCAAATGTGGCCACATGCTAAATGCATTAAACATCTTTTAAAATTCACCTGAAAGTCACAGCCATGTACTTTGAAAGAGCAACATCCAAATTTGCTCAGGGCCCCTTCATAGAAATTACAGTATCTAATGATTACACCCTATTTCAAACACTTCTTTTTAAAATAACACATTTCTGCTTATAAAAATAACCAAGGGATATTTTGGAGGTGGGAAGTGAAAATTTTTGAAAACCTAGAATGGTATTAAGAAACATTAAGCATTTTCTGAGACCACGCAAAACCCGTTGGTAAGGGCCCGCGGTGGTGCCCGCAGCGGTGAGTTTTACTCCAGCACTGACTGGAGGCCCTGCCCTCAGACGGCTGAATGTCTGTCTCACCTCCTCACCGTCCAGGAAGTATGTGGATCGAAGGGCTTTGTGAGATGCACAGGAACACTACAGCTGCTTTCTCCTGTCCCAGCAGATTGAGACGAGATGATCAGTTCTGAAGTCTCAGCTGGCTGTTTATCAGAGTCCCTCTCCACTGATAAGACACATGTCACTGTCACCCAGAGGCTATTTCCTGGGGGACTGATGTGTGCTTTTCTGATCTGGACGATAATGGGAAACACCAGCTAATCAAAGTCACAGGAAAATTCTAATTGGCTTTTAAAATCCAAGAAGGCCTCCAGGTGCATGCCTCCCTGAGCCAGGTACTATTGGCCGTGATTCCAGAAGGCTTACCTGTCAGCCTTCTGTCCCTGGTCTATAAAGTAATAAGGTGTATCCAATCTTGGAAAAAGAGAGTAATAACACAAAAATAAGCACAGGGTGCCTCACAGATGCACACAACTACATGGCTGCCTAACGTTCCATTTCTATCACTAAACCGAAGTAATTTACATTTTCCAAAGTAACACGTCAAACCAAAAAAAGCAAACCAAACACACTGCCATCAAGTCGAATATGACTCATAGTGACCCCTCCTTGGGTTTCCGAGGTGATAACAGTACGGAAATAGATTGCCCAATCTTCCTTCCGAGGAGTGGCTGGTGAGTTTGAACCGCCAGCCTTCTGGTTAGCAGTCAAGTGCCTTAGGCACTCCTGTGCAGATCAGAAAGGAAAGCAGAGCAGAATCCTGTCACCAGTCTATTCTGCAAAGCACAGCCCTGTCACCAATCTTTCCCCAAAGCACAATCCTGTCACTAGTTTACCCTCCCAAAGCACAGTCCTGTCACCAGTCTGTCCCCCAAAGCACAATCCTGGCACCAGTCTACCCCCCCGCAAGGCATAATCCTGTCACCAGTCTATTCCGCAAAGCACAGCCCTGTCACCAGTCTTTATTATCTGCTCATAGTGGTCTGTCTAGTAGACGACCTTTCATCACTCCCACCTCAGGTTAGGGGCTGTCAGAACCCAGCAGAACAGGGAGGGAAGACAGGAGGAGGGTCCCTGCTGCTCCAGAAGCACCACCATGGGACCAGGTGAGCCCGCTGCTTGGAAGGGGCCTCCTGGCCTCCTCACAGCCTCTTAGAGAAGCAGCAGGAGGCACAGGTCCAGGACAGTGAAAGGCTTCCCCGAGACCCTCTAATGGTGTGTGTGCCAGGGAGCAGGGCAGGCGGGCAGGGCCTCAGCAAATGAAACCAAGGAGCTGATAGATCAGTGCTGTCCCAGAGAGCTTTCCAGAGGGCAGGGACGTTACAGAACTGCACTGTGCAGCGGCCACTGGGCACATGGGCCATTGAGTGGATCGCGCACCTCAGGAGTTACATTTCATTTTAATTAATTTAAATAACCATCTATGGCTAGTCTGCTATATCAGACAGGTGTAAATTAAATAGAACAGTGTTTCCATGGTGAAGGCCCAAGAGATGGACTTAAAAGTGGGGCCGATCTCCCAAGAGCCAAAGGAAGGGAACACAGGATCCTGGGGCTCGGGGGACCATCCTGGGAGTTAGCAGAAGTCCTGGCAACCTGGAGTGAAAAGTTACCTCCCAGACCAGCCTGAATCCACCCCGCTGATGACGCTGCAGGAGGTGTGTCATGTTGCAGGCCAGTCGTGGATCCGTGGGAGGAGCTGGCAAAACACCTTAGTTTTTAAAATAGACGGCAAGCGGGTTTGTATATGTAGTCTTCACACGCAAACACATCGATTTTTATCGACTAACATGAGGCGTTTTCTAAAGTCAGAGACACACTTAGGTTTAGATCCACCAAACACTGAGAACTGGGAGCCGTCCATCCCAGGTGGAATGTTCCTGAGCCCACTCACCGAGGTGGACTCGTGGCAGCCTCGTAAGGCTGCGTCTCCACAGATCCCGGTCGGTGCCCCCTCTGTGAGGTGCAGGGGAGAGGGTTCTGGGAGCAGAGGGGGGGGCAGGTGGTCTGCTCACAGGTTCTCCACCTTAGTTACTGCTGAGCAAGGAAGGGTTGGCTCACTCCTGTCTCTCTCATCAGATAGCCAGCCTGTTAAAAGCCCCCCAAAAGGCAGCCCTCTGACACACACTTTCATCAAAGTGGCAAAAGCACAGGGCCAGCCCTGCACAGCCTGGCAGCCACTCTCCACCACGTGTGTTGCTTGGTGTAGTCCTCCATTCCAGCAAATAGCCCTGTGACCCAGAGCAGTTGGCTATCGCTGTTTGGGCTTCTGCGTCCCCACTGTGGGAATAGGAGGCTGTGGCCTCGGGAGCCAAGTGCACTCACAGGGAGGCTTTGCTGGCTCCCGTGTTTCAGAGGCCTTGCATCAGGGCTGCTTATGTCACAAGGAACGAGAAACTGACCGCAAGCTGGTGTTGGAAATGAAGGGATGTTGTGTTTCGTGTGAAGCCGAGTCCAGAGGGGGCAGCAGGAAGGGTGGCTGGAGGAGGCCCTCAAGGGGCAGCCTCCTCTCTGAGCCTTGGCCCTGCCATTTCACGGGAGCTGCTGGAGGCCAGTGGATCACAAGGCTTCCTCCAGGCATCCTCACAGGCCCTGCTTGACTGCAAGGGCTCCAGGCTCATCACTGAGTGTCTGCCTGTGGCTGGGGCCTGACAGTTCCCTCCAGAGTCATGGCTCTGTGGTGGACCCCAACCAAAAGGCTGGTAGAGTAGGGGAGGGGCAAAGGAGGAGTGGGCGGCTGGTGCCAGGCAGTCACACTTCCCGTCCTCTGTGGCAGAAAAAGCCCAAAGTATGCTACACGGTAGCTGTGTTCCTATATAGGGTAATGGCAGCAGCTGTCAGGCACCTTGCTTTCTGGTCCCCGAGCCTTCTCTGCTGTCTTAGGGGCAGCGTGTCCCATTGCTGTCAGGATGTGCCACGCCGCCCCTCCCCTCCCCAGGCTTCACAGCCTTGAGGATCCTGTCTTGCTGAGTTACGTTTGGTGGGGCCGTGCCTGAGTGGGCCCTGCCAAGTTGGTCCTGCCAAGCAGACTGACAGTGCCTTGGTGTCATGCTCTTTCAAAGTCTGAGAAAAACTAGATGGGATGACAGTGGCTAAGCCAGCATGGCCGCTGACTTGTGTGGGGCCCAGTACACTGAGGGCCACGTAACAGTGGCCGAGCCACAAGTTTCTCAAATTAAGAGCCTCTTAGTTCCACAGACGTGTCTTGAGCACAGGCTATAGCATGCCTGACATTATGCCAGGTCCTGAGGATACGAGAGGGTCAGGGCTCCCTGCTTAGGGGGCCTCATGTGAGGCAGATAAACCTGGATGTGAAGGCAGGAGCTTCAGAGACAGGCCAGGCCCAGAGGACAGTGAAAGGCTTCCCCAAGACCCTCTAAGTGTTTCTGAAGGCTGAGGTGAGGGATCAGGCAGCAGAGACAGGAGCCAAAGCTTCTTGGTGGCCCAGGAACTTTGCAGGGTGGGGTGACCAGTGCAGAGGAAGCCGTGGAAGGAATGCTCAGGTGGACAGGTGGCCACTGGGCCCCCCCAGCGTGAGGCCTGGGGTGGGGTTGACAAGGTCAGGGGTGGGGTTAGGGGATCGGTCAAAGCGGAGCCCACAGGCTTTCCTGACTGGTGAACAAGAGGGGAGGCTGGAAGGCAGTTCCCGAGAGGAAGGGGCTGAGTTTGGCTGCCGTGAGGCCCGCAGGGCTTCTGGAAAGTTTGCAGGGAAACGGTGAGTAAGCCAGGGTGAGAGGGAAGTGAGTGGGCAAGCTGATCCGTCGGCCTCAGTCATCAGCGCCACAGGGCAGGGAGGCTGAGAGCAAGTTACTAGAATCTTCTCCATCGCCAAGACAGAAGGTGCCAAGTGCAAAGTGGTAGCCTCGCTGGACAGAGAAGTCGGGGGACGGGCAGGAAGGAGGGTGGACTTTTCTGGTAATGACACTTTCAAGTCAATGTTTTACTGAAAAGTGCACAGCGATTTTTCATGAGGTGAATGCGCATAACTAGGGGTAGATTGGGAAAGAGAACATGCTAGAGGCTCAGGGACTGACCCTGCCACTCACAAGGGCACCTGTCTGGACTCGGCGAGCAGCGGCCAGCTGCCTTGCTCAGCGCGCTTGTGGGGCGCTTGAGGTCGATGGGGTCCGCTGCGTGCACGCGAGAAACGCCGGCAGGCTCGGGCTGGTGTGTTGGGCGCCCAGACACGTGCTCTGCTTGTGGGGCTGAGACCGAGCTGCTGGGTCGCAGGCGCGGAAGGGCGCGGACGTGCTGGCGCCATGCGTCCTTCAGGCTCCTCCCTCGTGGCAGGCAGGGCGCCACCGTGTGTCCTGCAGCTCCTGTGCCGCAGGCGCCGGTACTTCCCGCACTGACTCTGGTAGCGTTTCTTCCCAGCTTTTCGCACGTCCGGCCGGCTAAGCAGCCAGGTGACAAGGTTAAACTCTCACAGCTCAGTGGGTCCCCGGGGCTCCGTGCACAGCCCCAGGCTTGTTGCCCTGAGGTGGGTTCCGGGCGGCGCTCCGGGCAGGGATGCACCGGAAGTGTAGCTCCCTAGCCGGCAGGGCCGCTGGGACGGGGCAGAGTCTGAGGACGGGGTCCTCGGTGGTGGAGTTCGGCTGCCCTTGCTCCCGACTCCTGGGCCCCAGAGGCATCCGGGCCTGTTCCCAGACTGAGCCCGCGTTCAGCCCTTACCGTGGGAAGTGCCGGTCGCGGCCGTGCTGATGGGGCACCGCGTGCCCTGGAGGCGGCTCTTGCGGGGCGGTGACTCAGCCACCCAAGCCCTCCTGGCATGTGCCGAGCAGGCCGGCATGCAGCTTGTCCACACGGCCGCATAGAGGCTCCGAGGCCGGTGGCACAGAGAACGGTGCACGGGACGGTGCCCCGGAGGGGATGTCCTCAGGCCGTCTGCCCATTGTCTAATGGTTCTAATAAAGATACTGAGGCCCAGACAGGACAGGCCTGAGGGTACGGCCCCAGGCGGCAGCCGCCTCCCTTTATGACCTTGGAGTCTGGGGCCGCAGCGCTGAGGTCGGTGCAGGGCTCCATCACACAAGGCTCCCGTGTTGGACTCTGGCCACCTGTCAGACGGCCTCACGCTGCCCTCTCCTGGGCTGCCCCGCAACTGAGGCCCTGCACCACCTCCCGACAGCAGGGCGGCGGTTTTCAGAGTCTGCGAGCTTTTGGAATGAGGCCAGGAAGGTCTGGTCTGCGCCAGGGCCGCACCCTCGTCTGCCTTCTTTCCCTCCTGGTTCAGTTTCTTCTGCAAGGTCTCTGGCTTCTGCAGTTTTCCCTCGTCTACAGGCAGCAGGCACAGCAGGTTTGATTTCCTCTTGGGGCTTTCTCGTGCCCTCGCTAGGACTGGGCTCCCACAACGCAAACGCAGTTGCTGGAGGTGATCCTTGAAAGGGCGTCTGCGAGGCGAGCAGCACCTGGGGTCTCCTGTCAGGGTCCCTGGTTGTCAGGGTGCTGGGTTTGACACCACCGTTGTCTCCAGTGCAGCTCTGAGCTTTCGGGTTTAGGGACAAGCTGGTCCCCTTGAGCCCCTCGGTGTCCTGTGCAAGCCCTAGTGCCACAGCCTCACAGTGGCTCTGTCACGTGTTCTACTCTCGAGGCACCTGTCATTTAGAACTTCGTCCTCACCTTCCCAGTGAACTCAGATCTCGTCTCAGCTGGTGAGACTACTGAACCCTTTTCAACATGTGCAGCTTTATACAAAGCAGCCCTGGTGGCGCAGTGGTTGAGGTGCCAGGCTGCTAAGCCGATACCATAGGGTCCCTGGTTCAAACCCACCAGTGGGAGGAAGATGAGGCCATTCGGCTCTGGCTTCTAGGGGCACAAGTGGAATCCACTCAGTGGCAAAGGGTCTATGGGAGCTTTCAACAGTCCCTTATTGCTTTGTACTTCACCTTCAGGTCAGTCTGAGGGTCCCTGATTACATGAACTTTCCATCAGTTTCCTCTCTCTCTCTCTCTCCACAGAGTGATGCCAATGGGACTGCCAAGCCGCCTTTTCTTAGGTACGTTCATTTCCAACATTACAATCTGTCCTTGAAGCTGCCCGTCCCTGAGTGGGCCTGTGGCATTCCCTCTAGGACACAGGTGGAGCACCCGCCCTGCTGGCACTGCCTTTAGCACCCACGTGGCCCCAGAAGGGTCTTAAGGAAGTCCTGGGGCCCATGAGGCCCAAGCAGAATGCAGCCACTGTGTTCCCACCCTCGCCACAGTACGTGTGTGTTAGAGCAGGGCTGGGAGGGAGCGTCCAGTCTGCCTGATCTGAGGGGAGACTCTCCAAGTCACAGGCCATGTTGGTAGAGTCACCAGACCCTTTCCCAGAGAGGATTCCCTAAAAGCGCCTCCCCTTCTTGAGCAGACTACACAGTGGGCAGGGGGCTGGCTCTGCCATCCACCAGGGTGAGAACAGCAGCTTTTTGCTCTCTTTAAGACCAAATCTGTCGTGTGGTAGTAGTTCTGACATTTCCCCCCACAGTGGAGAAAACCCCTTTGCTACCGTGAAACTCCGACCAACGGTGACCAATGACCGGTCAGCCCCGATCATCCGGTGAAACGGCCAGGGCGCCAGGCTCCTCCCCGGTCAACCCTCTCTCCAGACGCCTGGCACCGTCGCTGCAGAGTCCTTGCTGTTACGGTTGACGCCTGACCAAAGGGGCCTGACCTTTAACCATATCTCCATTGAGCAGATCAATGCACTGTCCGCCTCTCACGGGCTGGGTTTACACATTTCTCTTTAAGATGAGTTGCAGTTTAGGGCCACAACTCAACTATTTAAAATCTTCCCTTCCTCTTCTGTTTAGTAAATTTGGTTCCCATCCTCGTACCTTTTTGATAGAGTCTGGGATATTTTATTTTTAGTAACAGAACGAGGGATCGTTTCTGCCCTGACCAGCCTTCTGCGTGCAGACAAGGCTGCGGGGAATATATTTTAGGAGACGCGTGCCCCCGAGGAGCATTAAGAAAATCACCTGAGGAAAAACACTGGCATGTTTGCATCTTAGCACACAGAGCCTAATCTTAAGCAATATAAATTATGGAGATAGCATGTACATTTTAATTTTTTAACTTAAAAATTTTTAATTTTTATTTCATCATCGAGCTACCTGAGGTGGGGAAGTCCCTAGCTTTTCTGCAGTGTGGGCCTAGCTGAGACAGCCTGCCTCTCCCGTCACAGCCCGAGTCAGTGTTTAAGAAATCGTTTCTAAGAGCGGTAAGATACCAACCGGCTTACCGCTAGCTAAGAACAGCACACCACCCCAACCCAGGCCACAGGGCAGACCCGTGCTCACTGGGCTGGGGTTCCGTGTCTGGGCCCAGACACCACACACCGGACATCTGGGCCTGTCACTCTGCCTTCTCTGGCTGACGTGCATCAGCCCTCAGCCTGCCGGTGTGTCTGTGAGAATGGGGGTGACTTTGCTCGCCCAGGCCACTGACTGGAGGAGCAGGATGTGCCTCCTGCCTGTTCATCACTGTGGTTCCTGTCTACTATCAGTTTTTTCCTGTGAGCTTGAAGCTGGTTTAAGCATGCCATAGGTCAGGCGACCTACCCCAGGCTCCTTCCTGGAGGTTAGCAACATCACAGGGCATCTCTCCTGAGAGGGCAAACCCGGCGACCCCCGGCCCACGGGAGCGCCAGCCAACTGAGTCGGGGTTCCTCCCCCCACTTGGTGAGACTCCGGTTCACAGAGGCCACTGTTACCAGGCGTGGAGTGGGGTGACGTGTCAGTTCTGGAAGCATTAGTGCTCCACTTTTTGGGATCTTCTGGCTTTGCTGTAGGTTCTAGTTACCACGGGCAGCCTGCAGACTCCCTGGGCTCAGGCAACCCTGGATTCTGCCTCCAAGAAATGGCGCTCCTGTGGGCACCTACTGCAGAGGTGGGGAGGGTGTCTTTAGGTTCTTGGCACTGAGGTGCAATTCTGTAAATGTCAAGGTATTTAACTACTATAATAAAAGATAATTTGAAAACAGTAACACTTCTTGAGCTGTGAAAATGAGGATGCATATATCACCCTTAGCCTGGCCAGAGCGCAAGGAGGCCAGCAAGAAGTCAAACGGCAGTCGTCTCGCTGCAGGCCCAGCTCCCTGGGTGAGTACCTGGCAGGTGCACCGCACGGCATACAGGCAGACGGAGTCACGTTTAGGCGAAGCTGTGAGCTTTCTCACCCTGTTTCCCAAAAGATGTAAGGAGTCCAGTGTCCTGTCAGCAGTCTCTCTGGGGTGGCCTTCCCACACCTCACGTATGTTGGCATGCCTTGTGAGTGCCCGTGGTGTCCCACCTCTCTGCTCCTGTCACTGACAAGACATGTCCCCATGCTGGGACATGTGGCTCTTTGTGATTCACAGGCAAACAGTATGCTGTCCACCTGGTGACTGTACGTCCAGAAGGACCATGGCTGGGGCGATGGGGCCACACCCTTAACCGCCCCCCAGTGGTAGCTGTTGGGGACATGCCGTAACAGACGTTTTCTTTACACGAGCAGCAGTGAGCAAGCGTGGAGTAAGCAGAAGCAGGTCAACGATGGTATGAATTTCATTTATTAACACAGTATTCCTCACCTTCTCAAAGTGAAGACTGTGGAAAATAGAACAGTGCTTCACCGAGCTGCTGTCACCTGGGTTTCCAGATCTGACCCCGGGCCGGGAAGCCCGGCCCCTGGCCTGCCACACCTGACACATTGACACAACAGTCCTGGAGCTTCACTGGTAAAGCTATCGTACAAGACATTTACATTAGAAAAAGACCACGGGGTAGGAAAGCCTGGTGTGGTGTTCCCTTTATGAAAAGGTGGCTCCGCAGTTGGGGCATCTCCGCTTCCTCAAAGCGAAGCAGCAGATGAACCCGAAGGGGAACAGGATGATGGCCAAGAAGATGCCCAGGAAGGTGAAGGAATCCTCCAGGACGCCGACTCTGTGGAGAGAGGGAGGGCGCGCGTGAGGGCCGTGGAGGCCCGACAGGCCTGCCTCACCTACAGGGGACACAGGACAGACACCTGGAGTTACAGGGAGACGCGGATGGCACCCCACCCTCAGAACCAACCCCGGTGCCAGGAGAAGAGTGTGAGGGCCACGTGAGCGAGCACGGCCTGCGGCTATCAGTCCTACATACAGAGTTGGAAGATGAGGCAAGGAGCGGACTCACTTAGCATTTACAAAGGCAAACGAGTCGGCTGCCAGACTCTGCCGCGCGGTTCTCTCCATGGACCAAGGCGCAAAGTCAGGAGAACGAGCAGCCAGTGCCGGTTGCTATAGAAACTCTCGCATCTCTGGAAAAACCGAGACCCACGTCACACTCAGGTGGTATTTCAGTGTCGACTCAAGGGCTCGGTCGGGTCTGCCTCTCAAAAGGGGAAGGATTGAGATCCTGCTCCACCCCCTGAATGGTGATTAAGGAAGAGTGAGAAAGTAGAGTTTGGGGTTTTGTTGGGATTTTAGAGTTTTGTAAAAACTGAAAACCAGCCAGGTTCACTGTATCTAGGAGGCCACTCATCTTGCAATTTAATTTCAAAGCCCGACGCACGCGATCTGTAACAGCTGAGTCACCCGAATCGGGCCAATAAGCAGACAGCAAACGCGGTTGCTTCCTGATGCCTCCCCTGCCAGGCTTGGGTTGCAGGTGAGAGTAAAGGGCCCTGTGAGGGTCCATCTCGGCCGTGCAGAGCCCCTGGGGGACATGAACGCGCCCCTGCCCCGTGGCTCCTGCTCAGGTTCTGTGTTCATCACAGCGGCCGAGAAACCTGCCCGATCGCACGCTGGAGAGGAGCAGGCAGAGGAGGGGCTGGGCAGGAGAACCCAGGGGCAGTGAGGGACTGTTCCAGGTGACCAGGAAGGGTCCACGTGGGTCAGCCATGCGCAGCAGCAGGAAAGGGCACTTAGCAGAAGGGCCCAAGCCAAGCCTTCCAGCTGCCTGAAATACACATGCTTCCCTCAAGCTTAGCTGGGCACTGCTGAGAAACAGACTGTCACACTGGCCACAAGAGGGCCTCGCGCACACATGCATGCCATCCAAGCATCCAGCCACTTCACAGCTGCCTCTCCTCAGCCCACAATGGCCAGCAAACCACTACTGCTCCAGGACTTGCCACCTTGTGCACAGAGCAGCACAGAATGTCCCCAAACGCCAGAGATGCTGCTACTGGCTGCTGACCTGTGGTCCAGGCTGTGGCCAGTTCCCCAGGAGAGCCAGGCCTGGTCCTACTCCCCTGGATCAAGATGCTCTTAAAAGGGAATTCTGCTTTTAAAAAAAAAATCAAACTCGTGCTTGCTTTGGCAGCACGTATACTAAAATTGGGTACAGCCCCTGCACAAGGATAACACGCAAATTCGTGAAGTGTTCCACGTTTAAAAAAAAAAGTCAAACTCAGTGCCTACTTTCCTACCTCCCCACTGAGAAGGGGTTGCCTAGGACAGACAGGTAATAAAAGGGGACAGTGAATCCCTGAGAGGTTTATCCGAAAACCCTCATCTCCAGTCAGCACTACAGAAAGACACTGGGGGTCTTTAGTGATGTTGCCAGCCGTTCTCTCTCCCCATCCTCAAGTCACGACGGACGTTAGTGGTATAGGCTCTCCCCCAAGTCCTGAAGCAAAGTCACCTGAGGAACTATGACCCACTTTTGTCTTTCCCAGACTCATATAAAGAGTGGCACCAGGTATCTTAACTAGATGGGGGCCCACAGGGAAACTGCCCCAAAGTGGCCCTATGGTTAGCTGCCATTGAGTCAATTCCAACTCCCAGCACCCCACGGAGTTTCCAAAGCTGTCATTTTTACAGGCAATCGCCAGGGCTGGGCTCCTCTGGAGCCACTGGGGACCTTTTGGTTAACAGCCAAGCACCTGACCACGATGCCACAAGGGCTCCTTAAAGTGAACTAGCACAGCAGGCCTGACTTTGTGTCAGCAAAGGAAGTTACCCTTTCCTGTCTGGGTGTTTTTGGAGTGCTCTCTCTCAGTACTACTAACACCTCCGTGTCACCAAGCTGGTTGTCAGCCCTCACTTTCCACCTGTCAGGAACCTGGCCTGGCAGGACAGCCCCCTATGGCAAGGAGACATGCGACCCAGCTGAAAAAGAACCTAAGGCCATCGTGCCCAGGGAGGGCTTCTGAAGGGCCCTGAACCTTCCACGGTGTCCCACACGCACATGGACACAGCAGATGTGCCCTGCCCCCAGTCCTGGCCAACGGACACCGAAACCTACCCCTGGCCATTCTCACTACCTGGCTGCTCAAATGTACCTGGAAAGGAAAGCCGAGGAAGGACACTGGTTTGCGTGTCCTGGGCCCAGGTGGAATGATGGAAGAGCTGCAGTGCGCCAGGCCTCACTGGCACCCTTAAGTCTGCCGACGAGGCCTGGGCTGGACAGAGTGGCGTGTCCAGGACCAAGGCCCACAGTGTCCATTCTAAGGGGTCAGGTCTGACCTAGAGGCCCGGGGTGCCAGTGTGTGAGGGGTGTACCTGTCTCACACAAGCTGTATACCTCCTCCTCCAGCCTCTGTAGCACCCCAAGAACTTACAGAAAGGGGCAAAATGCTGGCCAGCAGCGGAAAGCTAGGCCCATACGCCCAACTACAGTCATTGGCTGGGGGCTGCCCACACCCCCCCAAGCCCCTGCCTGCTAGGATGGCGGAGTTCCCCATTGCCCCCTCCTGCAAGGACAGCCAGGCCATATCCTTCAGTAACACCAGGAAGGTGCCATGGGCTCTGCCCCCACAAGGCTCCACCACCTTCCCATTGGTGACCCCAGATCCCTCCACAGGAACGTTACCACTAACCCGCCCGGGGCTCCCACAGGTCAAGGGCGCAGGCCAAGGATGTACTGGGCACTTAGCACAGGTACAACCCCAGGGGCCACGCTGCCCCCCAGGTTCCCAGACCCCTACCCTAATCCCAAAAGCAAGGCTCTGATCACAGGAGGGTTTGTGAGTTTGAAGCAAACTTGAGTTGGTGTATGACTGTCCCCACTCGCTCGTAGCTGCAGAAGGTGCCCCAGACCACGAAGGCGAGGGTGTCACTGACGGGTTTTACAATCCCAAGTCCTCTGAACTGAGAAACCACCTCAACCCTAGGTCAGTGTTCATTCTGCAAAACTCCTAAGATAACAGCTACAGGATTCCCCCACTATCTGAAACCTTTCCCAAGCCCGAATGGTGGAGAGCAAACAGTTCCTATTAATTTATGGGGAAAACGGCTTACTGCAGAATAAACACTGACCACTAGTTTCACGTGCAACCTCTTCCCAGTAAAAGCAAAAAATCGTCTTCAGATGTGTTTTGGTTGGTGAGATCATGGATGTAGGTCTTTCATAAAAGGTGGGTGGTGTAAAGACAACTTTCAAAAAGGGAAGGACACCTCTATCAGTCCTTACACGTCTGGAGTGAAAGAGAACAAGGAACCAAAGCTCAGGGAAGAAGGGAGTCCACAGGACAGACATGGCTTCACCTGCTCAGACCCCAGAAGTCCATGAGCCAGTCAAGACCACAGCCACCCGACCACCACTACCGACCCCTATAACCAGGAACACAATGGGTGGGTCCCAATATAATAATGGCATAAACTGAAGAGAACCTAAATTCTAAGTCCTGACTTCCTGGCCCAGTTGGGAGGAGGACTCCCTGCTGCTGTCGCCCTGAGACACTCCTCAAACGTGAACCAGAACTATTCCATGAGGTCACCTTTCAGCTAAACAACAGGCTGGCCTACAGACACTATCACCCGTAAGTACTGTGTGCCTGTAAAACGTCACCTATGTGAGACCAAACGGTCAAAGATCAGAAGGCAAGGGGGCAGGGTAACTAGATTACTGGGAATAGGACAACCAGAACAGAAATCCCTGCGTCGATATTTGTAAAATGTAACTGATGGACTGAGCAGATTGTATATAAACTGTTACATGAGAACCTCACTTGCTGTGTAAATTTACACTGGAAACTTGTTTTTTTAATTCCACAAGCTACGGCCCTGGACCCCCCAGCACCACTGTCTATGGGACGCCAGACCCCTGGATGGGGACCAGTGGCTGCCCCCACAGCTGACTGGACAAGTTTCGATTCAACACTGGGTTCAGCACCCACAGAGTAATGCCTCTAGCTGCAGCCAGCCAACACACCCTCCACTCCTGGGCAATCACATGGGTCATGGGTGGGAGGCTGCAGGTGCTGTGGAAATCGGGGGGCTGATGCTGAAAATTCCTTAACCTCGATGACCTTTCAAAGTGGCCAACAGCCGGGAGGGGAGAAGGCTCAAGCATCACAGGCCCCGAGCACCCCGTCCCAGGCATCCTCATCACCTGCTGTATCCCGCGTAACTACGCACCCTGAGGTACCGCCGCCTCCCATCTTCAGGGAAGCTCAGGCCCAGAATGGGGTGAGAGCTTGTGCAAGCCACGGCCCAAGGTGGCATGGCCGGGCCCTCCCACCAACAGCCTGCTCAAAGCCATCATGGGGGCCCCAGCCACCTGCAGGTCTAGCCACACTCAGGGCACCGAACAATCAGTGTGGTCCCGTACAGCTTTTGGGGGGGCAACTGGCTTCCACCTCCCTTTCAGCACCTCCCATGTCACTTCCAGACCTTTCCACCCCAAGGCCAAGCCTCTTCTCCCAGGGGCCACAGGCTGGAGCCGTAGCTCAAGTGGGCAAGGGGGCCCCAGCCCTGCCCCAGCCTTCACCCCCACACCCCCACTGAGCACCTCTCCCCTCTCGCCACCAGTCTCCCTGCTGAAGTCTAGCCTCTGGGGGTCCCCAGGGTCACTACTTCCAAAAGGCCTCCCACAGGGTGAGGGGGAGATAGCTGGTAACAGCCTCTGGGCTCCTTTTCAAGGGCCCTCTAGAAATCTAGTCGCTGACCCGGGCCCTTCTGAACAAAGCCTCAGCGCCAGGTACCTGGGGCCCATCCCCCTCCCCACGCTGCAGCCGCCCCAGCACAGGCTGCCCCCAGCGAGGGGCTGCGCCTGGGACCAGACGGGTGGTCAATTGACAGCACGGCCTGCCTGGGCCCCGAGGCCAGGCCCAGCCCAGGGGTCACCTCAGGGCACCCTGTGTAACAGGAGTGAGGGCCTCATCCTGGGTGATCTCCAGCCCCCCGCCCAGGCCCACCTTACCACGTGGGGCGCCCCCAAAGCCTGGACAGCCGATCCCTCCACCACCTCCCCAAACCTACAGGGCCCTGGGGCTGCGACGAGACCAGAGCTCCGGCTACACAGCCGTGGCTGCCCAGCTGGCCTGAGGTGCGGGTGCCCGGCCCTCACACACCTGCCTACCACTCAGAAGCCCACACTAACACAGTCGCCTCCCATCAGCCTTTCAGACACCACCTTGTCGCTGTGGCCTTCAGCATGCAATCACCATCCTGAGGGCTGCCCAGGGCCACCAGCCACCTACACTGACGACATGCCGGTTCCTGGACCTCATGGCCTGACCCTGGACAGCACCTGACCTCGACAGCTGTCCCCAGACACTGCCCTGCCAGGGTCCTAAGGCCCATGCCCTTCTGGGGTCCCGCCCTCTCAGGGCGCTTCTCTGAGACGCAGCGTGCAGGCCCCGCACCCACCTCTGCCATGCCGCTGCCCCAGGTGCCTTCCTCCCCCCATCACCACCCCAGCTCCACCCCTCACCCTGCACCTGGGGACACCCCACGTCACCCTCAGCCGATGGCGGAGGGCACGAGACACGCTGGGAGGGGCCCAGGAACACTTGTAAATGGCTAAAAACAGAAGGTGGGGTCAGGCCACTCAGCCAGACGGCAGTGACAAGGCAGCCGGCCTGCCAAGCTCCCCCGGGGGGACCAGAGCAGCGTGTGACTTCTGCCAGCGCCTGCCAAGCTGCTGGAGGACGGCCCAGGGACTGGCAGGCAGAGCCCAGGCCGGGTCCCAGCCCCAAGAGGCATCCGGCACGACTGCTCTCCGGGGCCGTGGCCCACACCCTCTCCCAGAGAGCAGGCCACCTCGGGGCCACACTGCAGCCCCCAGAGCCGGCAAGGGGAGCCCCGGCCGTCCCCTCTTCCTCCATCCCGACCCATCTCAGCTGCGAGCTGATGGGAATGTGGGGGGCACTGAGGGCGGAAGACAGGACTTGAGGGCGTGCTGGGGGGTCCGACCGCCTCCACGTCCCTCCTTCCCAGAACCTGGGGGCTGAAAGCTGAGCTGCAGAGGGGACGAGCCTCCCCGGGGAGGAGGAGAGAGGCCGTTCCTAATCCGAGGGCCCACCCCTCCGCCTGGGGCACAGGGCCCTCCCCGCGGACCAGCCTCCTTGCTCCAGCCTCTGCCACAGACTCCAGGGTGACACACACGCCCCCGACCCCGTGAAGGGCGAGTCAGGGAAGGCACCCTGACCCTGTCAGCAGGGTGTCACAGCCCCCCAGCCTCACTGCAGGCCTCCCACCCCCCACCCCAGGGAGCCTTGGACATCCCATCAGACACCCCGATTCCCAGATGCAGAGGCAGACCAGCTGTTGCTGGCAGGATGGAATCCAAACCCAGCTCCTCCGGCGGGCTGGGCATGGTGGCCAGCCACTAGGCCCCATCCCCTGGCGCCTTCCTGCTCTAGGGGCAGCCTGAGGCCCCTCCCTAGACTTGGGAGACCACTCAATGCCCCCAGCCCACGAAAAACAGGCCCGCAGATGCCTTGGAGGGGCTTCCCATCACCCACCTCGTCACGCAACATCCCCAAATGGTCTCCTGGAGGCTCTGGCCACAGGGGACCGAGTCGGGGCCCTGCCCAGCACACTCTAGGGGGGCCACAACTCTCAGCATGCAGCTGGCCCGCCGCCCTTCTCCACGAAGCCTGCCCATGTCCCAAGCAGCTGCAGTGGCCTCCAGAGAGCAGCAGGTGCCACCCCTCAGAGGGCGATGAGGGGGCATCCAAGTCCCCCTCATGTTCTTCTAACACCAACACGTCCGCTGAACGGTGACCCCCGGCCTCGGGTCAATGTGGGTTTGTACACGGGGTGCCCCACAGCCCCCCTGTCCCAGGCACGAAGGCAGCTCTGAGGGCTGCACCATCTCAGACGCCCACCCCATCCCCAGGGGCTGTCTCCTAGCACGTGCCACCAATGGCTCCCACAGCACCTGGCTCACCTCGGACCTTCCAAGTCAATGGAGGTCCAAGTGGGGCTTTCTCAGTTCCACCTCAGTCCTCACCAGCCCTCTGGCCGCAGCCCGGGGTGCGAGTTTGCTGGCCCTGCCTTGATTCTAACCGCCCTGTGCATCCCCGCTGCCCAAGTCGCACCTGAATTTGTATCAAGACCCACACAAAACATCCAGGTGCCCCCGGGCCTATGACCACAGTCATCAGAAAGTTTCTGTAGGCTTCTGTTTGAGGATACAAACAGCCCCTCCTGCCCCGAAAAGAGCCACGGGCTTCCGTCCTCAGCCGACGGCAAGGGGTCTCAAAGCCTCCCTGTGGATAAAGCAGCCCTCAGAGCTGCTGCCTGCCCCCCGCACACAGCCTCTAAGACACGCGCGCAGCTCCTCCGACACACTGGCCCAGCGCTCCTACAACCCAAACTGTCCCCCCACCCCCAGCAAAGTGAGACCTCCCACCGCCTTCAACAATCAACTGCAAACATTGTGAGAACTGAAAGAGAAAGAAAAGCCTGAAGCCCAGCGGGTCCCAAACAGGGGAGGCAAGGCTGTCACTCTGCAGGCAGGGCCCCGAATCTCACTCCCTTTAACGTCAAAGCACTTCACTCCTCCAGGAGCCTGGGAAAGGATCCCCACCTCCCCAGGCCAGTGCCGAACGCTGAGACCTAGGCCCCAGCCATTCCTCGCCTCACACACAGATCAGCGCCTCCACGAGGGCCCCAACCCAAGTCCAGACCCACCTTCGGCCCCGACCCACCCATCTAAGGCCCTGGGGACCAGACCTACCTGCAAACTGGGCAGCCTCCGACGACCACGATGGAGTTGGCAGGGTAGCGTGTGACATCTCGACTATGGATGCTGTAGACCCTGGGGTGGTGGGTGGGCAGCCCTGTGTGGGCGGGGGGCAGATCAGAGGTGCGCAGGGAGAGGACCCAGGGAGTCTGAAGGCTGCTTCTCCTGCCCTGCACGCCCCCCTTCGGTAAACGAAGGCCCAGCCCCCACCTGCTAAGCGCCCACTGCGGGCCGTCAGGCGAGCTCCTTGATACCAAGTTCATTCGTAATTGGGGAGGGGGGGGCTTTGAAACGGTTCATCCGGTACAACCCCCTCCTAAAAATTCGCCTTTCCACCCCAGACAGAATCAGAATCCACCGTTTCCACAAGGCCCCCAGGTGTGTTCTCACGTACACCTGGAGACCTTGTTAAAATGTAGACCACGAATAAGCCTCTGTGCGCGGAAAGCCGCTTCTCAGCTGGGGTCGAACCAGAAGGAACTGGTTGCAAGCCCCGTCTGAAACAGGGTTAGGACCCTGCACGAGATGGGCGGCCAGGTGCACTGGATTACCGAAGCGGGCAGGAGGGCGCCCAGGTGCACCGGCCCCCAGGTGGGCTACAAGGCCAGGTGTGCCGGGCCACCTAGGTGGGCTAAGCACCTGCGGACAGCGCCCAGGACGGACAGCTGGGGTCCCGCGGGCGGTGAGCAAGCCAGCACCTCAAAACCCCCGGGAGCGGGACCCCCAGGGGCCCTCCTGCAGGCCCCACACTGCAGCCCCCGCCTGTCCCTCGGGACCAACTGTGCGTGGCCCCGGGCAGGCGCCGACCCCGTCCCCACCCAGGCGGGGGCGTCAGGGAAAGTTTGTTCGGGGCTAAAGGTCACCGCGGGACTCGGCCCAAACTTTGCTCCCGTGGGGCCGCCCCACTCGCTCCCCGCGGGTCCGGGCGCCCGCTGCCGCGCCAAGTTCCCGCGCGGGGCACACCTGCGACGAGGTAGGGGTAGGGCGGCGGCGCCGAGGGGATGGCCCCGTAGCCTTGCGGGCCGCACGCGTAGTCGCCCGGGCCGGCCTCCAGGTTGTAGGCGGGGGGCCGCTCCTGCAGCAGGGGCTTGTGGTCCATGGCGGGCGGCCCCGCTCTGGCTCCGCTCCCGGTTCCGGCTCCGCTCCGCTCCGGCGGGGACGCCCGGACGGCCGGCGGGCTCCCTCCCTCCCTCCCGGACGCCGCGGGCTTCCCTCGCGCTTCCCCTCGCGCCCCCCGCCGG